TAAAACTATGGCATTATTTAATTAGCTTTTAATTTCTTTTATAAATAAGATTTACTAAGTACGCTATTGTCTTTTTTTCAATGAATAATGAATTTTTACAAGAATTGATTTCATTATTTTAAATTTTAATTATAATAATTTATAATATTATAAATCATTTAAACTTCTGTATTACTTCAATCCAGTTAGGTGATTAAATGAAAACTATATTTAAGAAGCAAAATTTGAGAAGATCAATAAAAGTCATTTACCCCTAATATATTTTAAATTTTTTTATGTTTACAAAATGTTACCTAACTTGACCCTATTTGAAAGTCGACCATACACGACATAATCATGAGAGCGATGACTATAGTAAATTTAAATTCAACCTCCCTAAAATCAGATTACGGAGAATAATTTCTAACATTTTCAAGATTGTTGAATACTTAAAAATTATACAAAAAAAGGCGTTCACACATTTTCTTAAATTATGTTTTAACAGATAAAGTCGCTGTAGAACAACAATAAACATGTCAACAACTTATTAGTGCCCTTTAAGTGATCTATGAATGACAAGAGACAATCACTGCTACTGTTTGTTTAAAAAATTCATTTCTCTGTTATTTTAAAATTAAAGTAAAATTATTTCTTTCAAATTAGATTAATTATATTTTAAATCGGCTAATATTCCTCAAAGTTTCAGAAACGTATATTTTATTTTTGGAAGATTTTTGAAACTGAGAATTAACTTTTGTTTACAAATGTGTCAAAAATGGCCGGTTCTATGTGATTTCTGAAAGCGACCAAAAAGTTGAGACTTCAATCAATATAATTTCTATTTGAAATACACTTACTGGAAATAGTAAATTTAATCATTTAGATTTCGATTAAAGCTAAAATGAAAGCTTCAAGAAAGCTTTCCATTCAAAAAAATCATTTTAAACCCTAGATGTCGAAAATTCAGTGGAGGTACCTAGTTTTGATATTTTCACAAAGTAACGACGTTTATGTTAAGAGATCCGGTCATATTTTCATTATTGCACTGCTATATCATTAAAGCATACACGGGTATCCGTCTGATATCTGAAGTTAAGCAACGTCGAGTCTGACCGCTTGGTCACCCATCTAGACTTGAATATGTGAGTAGTGTTAGGGATAATGGATCGGAATTGTTGATCTTAGGGCTGAATTCCAATGACGTTTCAGTTCGTTATAAACACCTATACTAAACTATTATTATTCCCACCTCACCCAGAAATAAAATTGCGTACAAAATATTTAGACTGAGGCATAAATTACCATTAGAGATTAATACGTCGTCAAAAAAACAACAATCAACTTTGCTGTAATGTCTCGTTTTGAAAAAAATAGAAAATTGTCATTACTGGAAATAAATATTTATAAAAATACATTGACGATGATTTCTCATTGGTACAGCCATTTTGTTTTCGATCGTATACACTGCAATACAGACGAAGCTAAATGACTGCTCCAACACAAAAAATAATAAAACGCTCTTGTACGGTACTATTTACCTACGTTGGTTTCGAAATAACACTTATTCAACCGTTACTTTATAGCACAAACGCAAGGGAACAACATTTCACAGTCTAACCGATTTCATTTTCATGAAAGCTGAAATGTTGTAAAAACCCATATGTAAATCTCTTGGCAGTTCTTCTAATATCATAATATGAGATATTTAATAATAACATGACCAAAAGAAAAAGAAACTAAATGAAATCGGCTAGTTTATATACCAAACATATATATTTAAAAAAAATTAAATTTAAATTTCTTGATGTCCCCTCTCCTTCGTGCGCACGTGTAATCTCATCAACATAAACATCACAGTCTGATGAAGTCCTAAATATCGAAACGCATCAAACGAAAACTTTTCCCACTATGATATATATTTTGCTACACGCCACGTAACATCAGAACGTGGGCGGTTATGGCCCACTACAGCTTCCTTTTCGTTATTATATTCTTCAGAACACAGGCTTCCTTGCTATTTAACCTACAGGGAAGAAATGGATATCTCCAAGTGGGTTAATACGAAACGAACGTCAAAATTTGAACACGACACGTCGATTCTGTTTTCCGTGGTGATAACCGTTACAGAATCTGTGCATTCTTTTATTTGTAGGTTTGATGAATTGGATCGTGATTACGATTCCAATGTAATAAATTATAACCATGGAATATTAGTGTTTGAGCCTTTTATATTATATTCTTACTCTCTCCTGGACCATTGAGTTCCATCTGGATTCTATCCTCTTGGAAATTTTATATATATATATATATATATATATATATATATATATATATATATATATATATATATATATATGTGTGTGTGTGTGTGTGTGTGTTTGTGTGTGTGTCTCTCTCTCTCTCTCTCTCTCTCTCTATCTATCTATCTATATATATATATATATATATATATATATATATATATATATATATATATATATATATATATATATTGTTCAGTGCTGTGTCCCATCAAGATGTAGGCTGTCATAGATCACTACAGCTTTCTTTACGCAATGTTGTGGTCTTCCCGCAATTTGTAAGTCATGGGTAAACTCCAACTATGGGTAATTAGGCATGGTTGGCAACCAAACAAGGAGAAGGACAAGTTGCCTTTTCTACGGTTTTGAATTCGGAATTCTCTTTTTCCTAGAATGGCTGCTACCAAAAGATAAGGAACTTACTCTAATCTCTAATTTAACCATTAGCTGACGGGAGAAGAGATAGATCCATGGTTTCAAGTTAGAGTACATCGTCTTGACTTGAAGGGGGATGAACTTCTTTAGGTCTACTTGTCCAAGCTTGCTACTCATGAATGAATACCTGACCGGTGTTAATATCTGGGTTGGAGGATAGCAACCTACAACCACACTTGGTTATGGGGCTGTTGATGATGATATTTATGAACAGTGAACCGTAACAGCCTCGGCAGAAATTTAAACTCAGTTTTCCAATTCCACTTTCCTAACTTATAGTAACTAATCTACATGCGTATCTTCATTCCAGTACCAAAATTAATTTTTAAAAATAGTAGGAAAATAACCAAAAAAACAAAATGAATTAAAAAAATAGTAAAAAAAAAACACAAAAAAAAACAAAATAAAAAAATAGCAGGAACTCCCCCACCAAAAAAAAATAAATTAAAAAATACTAGAAAAAAAAATCAAAAAGAAAATTTTAAAAAATAGTAGGAAAAAAAATACAAAATAGATTAAAAAAATAGTACGAAAAAAACAAACAAAACAACAAAATAAGCACCTCACATTTTCTTAATTAAATTCGATAACGATGCGTTTTTATAAGAGGGTTCATTGAAGCATATAGCGTATAACGTTAAGTGGATACTTTACAAAAGCAATAGGTGTGACGGAAAAATAACACCAAATGTAAGGGAGTCATAGATGAATTAACAGTGACCCTTGGGTATAAATAAACTTTATCGGATAAATAATTCCGATATATGATACGATAGCTATTATATTTGCGCGCTAACGTGTGTATTTACGTCTGAGATTGTGTCACATATACGCTGCGCTCGCAAGCATACATGCACACGCACGCACACATTCATATATAGATATAAGATGTGCAGGTACTATAATGTATATTGGCTCGGAATGGGAAATGGGAGAAAAGATATGAATCCATCTCTTTCCCCACCAGCTATGGGTTAAAGAATGGGACTTTTATCTGGAAAAATCGTTTTTGTTCTCAAATAATTGTTGATACAATGTTAATTATTCTTACAATCGGAAATATGTTCCGGTTTTAATTAAGTTACAACGGATTGATAATCCGTATGTAAAAAGAAATCTATCAATCAAACAATATATATATATATATATATATATTGATAATATTAATGGTCAATATATATATATATATATATATATATATATATATATATATTGATAATATTAATGGTCAATATATATATATATATATATATATATATATATATATATATATATATTGATTGCTAGATGCTCGCTTTCGAGTACACCCGTCTACCTGGGCGGCTATTAAATCCCTATACAGACGCCCGCTCAACCAACGAATTTCACCTGTGGTTTATGCTACAAATACTGAGCAGACTTTAGAGAATTAGGCGTAAACGTTTTTTCAACCCCTTGATCACGATAGCTTGTGACTTCCTAATACACACACACACACGCATACATACATATATATATATATATATATATATATATATATATATATATATAGATGATGATGATGATAAAAATATAATTTTAAAGTATGTTATATTTATGGGTAAAATTGTTCAATATCAGAGATAGAGCGTATGTATATAAAATATTAAAGTAGACACTGAGATCAACACTAAACGGCACCGGTCTATTTCATACTTGAAAACAATCTTCAGGCTATCTCTCTCTCTCTCTCTCTCTCTCTCTCTCTCTCTCTCTCTCTCTCTCTCATTGTATTCACGTATATGTATATTTAACTGAATATAAATGTCTTGACCAACAGGAGGACTTAATTTGTACCTTAAGCAAAGCAAGAAAAAATCTCACCACGCATGGGATTTTATATTAGAACAATGTTGAAAGCAAGGAACAAACAAATATCTAAAATAAATTTGTTTCTTACAAGTCTAACAGCCTTTAAAGCCTTTCTGCTTTTAAGAGTCATTGCAAAGCCTATGAGCGGGTATCTGTAGTACATGCATGTTTATGATATACAGATGGATTATCTTCCTAACAGATTACACAGCCACTATATATATATATATATATAGTTATGCGGATATTTTTAGATTCTAAGAATTTTTGAGAGATAATAATTTTTAATGATAATCTTATTAATTAACCCATAGCAGGGGGAGAAGAGCTGGATTCATATTTTTTCCCAAAGATAATTGCCCTTAAATGAATATAACGAACCCAACTGGTATTCGAATTCGATTTTCCAATTAACTGTTCTGAGCCATTATCCATTACACCACCCGCACATAGAAGCTTACAGCACCTGGTATTCACAAGCGGTCACCCATCTTGTAGGTACTGACCAGTCTCAACCTTGCTTAACTTCGGTGATCGAACGGTCTGGAAATATTCTAATATAGCAAGAATTTTTTGAGATAATAATGGTTTAATGGTACAAGTTTTACTAATTAACCCATATCTGGGGGAAAAGAGGTGGATTCATACTTTTTCTGAAAGGTATTTGCGAGAAAGGGTATTTGCACGTAAATCAATATAATTGACCAACGGGAATTATAATTTGGCTCTCCGATTAACAATTCCGAGCCATTATGAACTACACCACCTGCACATTCAAGTTGACGGGAACTAGGGTTTTAAGTTAATGTGGCTGTAAGTCTTCGGATTATGAACAGGATGCACGAATTCCTTTGAATCTATCTATCTATCTATCTATCTATCTATCTATCTATCTATCTATCTATCTATCTCTATCTATATATATATATATATATATATATATATATATATATATATATATATATATATATATATATATATATATATATTATATTGGCCAGACTTTGTGAATTATAAAATAGATCATTATAATTATAATAAATTTTTTTAGTAGCTTATTGCATTATTCTTTGTATGTGTTTATTTGTATGCATGTGTGTGCAAATTGTGTGTATAAATGGTCTGTATATGTATATGCTTTGTATATGGTAGTCTCCGGTTTTTACCTTTCTTAATGCGAATTCGCAGATACACGCACACACACACATACACACATACACACGCACACACACACACACATATATATATTTTATATATATAGTTTATCGTAGGTACTTATGTATTCTAAAGTCAGCTTCAATTCTATTCTTCTAACATCTCTACCTAAACTCTCAAATCGTCCGGTTTACACTCCTCCTCGGTCTTTCGAACAGGTGCAGAGGTGTATCCCTTGTTTCTTTCTTAAGGTTAGATTTCCAGTTCCTTCTAAAAAATTTTTTCATCCTCTTTCACTCCCAGTAGCGCCTTGCGTCTTAGTGGCATCATCACCTTTCTTGGTTTGAATTGATAAAAAATGTTTTGTATAACTGCGTCTCTTTATATGAATTAATTCAAATCTGTCATTTTGTAGTAGTGCTACATCTGTATATGTGTTCGTATACAAGTTATCTCACTATTACACACTGGAAAAAGCAAAAAGAATCACATCCAAGCCATAAAGAGACAATTCAAACATCAACAAGATGCCAGTATTCACGATTCAACTGATTACAAAACGTCCATACTTACCCCTTCCTTTTTCTTTCTATGCACCAATCCTTTCATGGCATTCTCTACTTACCACCCTCCCCACTGATTACCATTCTCTCGTACGCTGACCACCCAGCTCTCATAACACACCATCATGCTTTATCATATGGTGCGACTTTGTTTCCTCATCCTTAACGTCATCATCGAAGCCCTATCGTTATAAAAGCATGCAATCAAGTCGAAACTTATTCTCCTTTAGCCTATCCTAACGTCACTTCCTTACTCCTTGTTTTGTATTGCTGTTATTGCTATTTTGTTGTTGGTATCTTTTTCATTATTTTATGTTTTGCCTTCTTTTTTATTTGTTGTTTCGTTTTGTAAGTTTCTTTTTTTTTTTTTTTTTTTTTCTGAGATTGTTTTGTCTGTCGCGTTATATTTCCCGCCATACAGATGTCGCACGAAGGGCGTTCACATTAGTAAAAGAAAAAAAAATGGCTGCTAAATAACTTTCCATTACGGACGAGTGGCCACATTAATTCGATTAATCGGATAGAGCTGGTGTGAGCCGGACAGTGTTGTATCTGATTAATGATTCACTGAACTGGACTTGACTGAAAGGGGATATGGGGGTGAGCTGAAAGTTGTAGGGTATGTGTGGTTTTATAGGTTGGGGGTGGATAACAGTATAAATACAAGGAATTATAGACCTGGGTCTGTATGCGTAGACCTATGAAAGGTGTTAAGCGACGTGAACTGGGTACTTAGTATGGTGGGTGAAATCTGATAAAGACTTGTTATGTTTTATTTATTCATCTTAGCTGTTTTTATTATATTTAATGAGAAGAAATACTGCAATTATCTATACACAAAAGCGAATACATTGTCAAACATGCACATTTGTACGTGTATACGTACTAGTGGTATATCGACGTACTTTTAGAGAAACCTACAAACTTTAATATAAACTGAAACACATCAATACACATACCATATTTCTTTCATTCTCTTTCTTACTTACATACGCACACAAACACACATACACACACGGACACACATACACACACGGACACACATACACACATGATTACCGTTTTGTCAATCATTTAGATGCATATTCAAATAAAAATATGAGCACACAAATATAAACGTACGTCTCTCTCTCTCTCTCTCTCTCTCTCTCTATATATATATATATATATATATATATATATATATAAGTATAGTACTCTAATTAGTAAGTAAGAAAACAAAAAATACACACACACAAAAAAAACAAAAAACAAAACATTGTCAAAATGCACATGCATCGATAATGAATTTTGATGTAGGTCGATTATAAACACAATTGGTACATTCGTTAGACAAAAATGGCAGGATGTTCTAAGATTGAACAACTAAAGATTTAGTTTTATTCATACGTATTGATAGTATTATTTTTATTTTTTTTACCCCATGACCCGTAGGATCGTAATTGTACCATGTGTATTGTAGCTACGGTAGAAATGGTGTTTCTTGGACAAGATAGTCTGGCGGATCCCAACCCTCTCCAGGCCGGTTTTGAATTCAGAGTTTTTCCTTCTCATAGACCGGTTGCCACCCAAGGTTATAGAACCCAGTCTATCCTGCAGGGAGGAGAAGGATTTATAGCTTTCCCAAGGGTATTACCACGTAAGTGAATGTAACGAATCTGACTGGAATTCGAACTCGGCTCTCCGATTTCCCAATTTGAGCCGCTATCCATGAAAAAAAAAAAACTGCATGCATATATATGAATATTTTCTGACATAATATCACATGCAGATCTAATCGCACTTAATGTGAAAGCATAAAAAAGACACCCTATTCTACATATATATATATATATATATATATATATATATATATATATATATATATATATATAGAAAAAGTTTCAAATTGAAAATTATAATGTTTTATTTTATGAAAGTATTTATTTATTTATATATATATTTGATATTTCAAATTGTCCTCAATTTTTCATCAGAAATAACTGTTTGTATACGTGGCTTCTCATTATGCTATATATATATATATATATATATATATATATATATGTGTGTGTGTGTGTGTGTGTGTGTGTGTGTGTGCGTATGCGTGCGTGCGTGTGTGTTTAACCGTTATTTTTTAAATGGATACTCATATTTTAGTAGATGCTCTGCTTTTATCTATTTATTGAATAGTATATTTATTTATTTACATCTACCAGCCTGAATCTTCGATTGATCTTGCTAGAAAAATATGTGACCCCGGAAAAATATGTTCCTCTTAAAAGATTCAGGCCAGTAGACGCAAATAAATATACTTTTTAATAAATAAATAAAAACAGAGCATCTACTCAAATATGAGTATCCATTTAAAATATAGCGTTTAAAAAAATAAAGTTAAAATCTGTCGGATTTAATCCATTTTGTGTCTATGTAATATAGTATTACAGTTTAAATGTTATAGTATGTAATAAGGATCACAGTTTATAATATAATATTTTGATATATATATATATATATATATATATATATATATATATATATATATATATATATATATATATATATGTATGTATGTGCGTGTGTGTGTATGCATGAACATATGGTGTGTAAATTCGCACATATACACACTGTTAAATACACGTATCATGTACGCACGAACCAGTACTCGCACCCATGTATATATATATATATATATATATATATATATATATAGAGAGAGAGAGATAGATAGATAGATAGATAGATAGATAGATAGATAGATAGATACGAACGATAGATAGATAGATGATAGATAGATACGAACAGAAATAGATAGATAGATAGATAGATAGAACGAACAGAAATAGATACGAACAAAGATAGATAGATAGATAGATAGATAGATACGAACAGAGATAGATAGATAGATAGATAGATAGATAGATAGATAGATAGATAGATAGATAGATAGATTAAAGTTTCGTCAGAGATCAAGATAAAAATGATAAAAAAAAAATGATAAAAAATATGATAAAATTCAAAGTGACCCCGATTAATGACATGTGTTTGATTGCTTCTTATTGGTAATAAAGTAACAGATAGTATTCAAATATGTGCGAGGAACATTCTGGACGCATAAATATGTAAAAGTTAGTGAGGATGTTTTGATTGGTTATTTCTTATTAGTATACAGTGTCTCGTGTAATAAAGTAACAGATAATATTCAAATCAGTCTAAGAAAAGATTCTGGATGTTAAGGTGTGTAAAAGTTAGACGCTGCAGGATGTTTTGAAAAAATTTGTTTGGTTTGATTTTTCATTAAATATATCTCAAGCGTATTTTGTATATATATTGATTTGTATGTATTCGGAAGAGATAAGTTAGATTCAAGAATGAAAGATCTGTAGAAAAATGGTGATGTAATTTAGTTTTTTAAACGTGTGTCAGTTGTTGGTAATGTTGTCATAAATATATTTTCATAATATTTTCTCTTTAAACTCTTATGCTCTTTTTTGATAAGGCTGACATTGGTTAACTTTAAGTTATGTCCTACATCGTTGCAGTATAAGACAAGAGAATTTGAATGTTTATCTATACACAAATATTTTTTGTGTTCTTGGATGTGGGTGTTTATATATAATTTATTTATTTTTTATGTAATTATTATTTTATTTTAATTTGATAAATTATGTATTTATTTTAAATAAGAGAAGGTCTTGTGTTAACATTTTCTTTTAATTTTGAAAAAATCTTATGGTCATGAATATTGACTTACGAAAGGAGAATTTCTTTTAAGAAACGAGATATTTGAAAAGATACAGAGCATAAGTTAACATTTTAGGAAGAATCAATGAATGCACTCTCAA